GTGTGTGTGTGTGTGTGTGTGTGTGTGTGTGTGTGTTGTTAAAAATAGCAATAAAAGTCACAATAGAAGTCATTTACATCTCGGTGTACAAAGTGTCAGCAGCAGCTTCCAAAACGCCTCATTACTGCTGAACCCAGGGTGCTGTGATTGACTGGGAGCAACTGCAGGCTGAAGTCAAATAAAGTTAAAACATGAAGCTGAAACCTATCAGCATATCTGTTGTTTTATTAGGAAACAAACTAAAAAAAAAATACAAATGAATCTTTGTGGCAATCCTTTGATTTCAGGGTTCTGTTTGATATTAGACAATTAAAGATAATCAAGAGATTCCTAATTAAATTTAGAATAATCTGAGGGCAGGTATACCAGCAAATTGTTTTTTTTTAATGTTTCTTCTCAACAACACAGAGGAAACCTGGAGCTTCATATCCACTGTAATAACAACTTTACAGACAAAATGATTAGAGTTGTTGTAAATGTAATGCATTTCACCATAAATGACTCCAAAGTGATCAGAACATCTCACAGTTGTTGAAAATCTCAAATGTGACAGGCAAACCAGAAAAAATGTCAACACAACATGTTATCTATTGAATATCTCAAATGCTTTAATTTGGTGGCAAAGTAAAACAACCGAGTAGTAAATATCAGTGATTAAAAATAAAATAAAAACAAACTAAATAAAAATCGGTGCTATTTTTCTGTGTTTTTCTTGGATATTTGTGTTTCAGAGGCAKCAGCCAAACAAATCTTCTCAGAAATGTGTTGTGACAGCTTATTGCCTGAGAATATCTGCTGAGGTTGTGCTGTGTGCCTCTGATAAAAGCATGATTCCGGGTCATCATGAGCCCTGTGTGTTTTCATCCAACACACTGTTACCACTAAAACACAATCAATTAATAAAGCTCCACTGGGAGTTCATTGAAKTTCTGCAAGAAATGTATGCAAATGGATGGCACATATTAACTAATCCACTAGATTATTTTTATATACGATTAAAAATGTGGTGATGAATCAAAATAAGTGCCATGAAAAATAGTAAACTAACAGACAAATAAATGAAGAGACATACAATTTATATAAACTAGAATAACATTTACTATTTTTTCCACCTTTTTTAAAAAAAATGTTCACATTTGTTGTTCTTCCATTACAACCCTTACTTTAAAAACTGCAGATTATGTTTAATCCCTGCCTCCTTCAGTTTATTCAGCTCCAAAAGCCTCTCCTGTCTGTCATCTGGACTCTCCCTCCAGTTCTGCTTCATCTGTTAGAATATGTTCTTTCTTAGGTCCGGTCATTAGTGGGTCTATTACTGTGGCTCCATCATTAGGAGCTGCGATGCATCATTGGATGCAGTGAGAGCCTCACACTGAAGGAAACCCTTCTTCACAAAGCAACCTGAAAAAAAAAAATAAAAAACTGTCAGAGTAACAGAAGACTGTGAGAAGATATAAATCTGCATAAATGTCATTTCTAACACCCACTGATGTTTTCCTTTTTATTATTTACACAACAGAAACCAGTAAGATTTGATTTTATACAATTATGATGCAATGATATTGAAAATAAGTTCCTCGCACACATTTGTTGAAAAAGCAGGGGGAAAAAAGGCGGGGGAGGACTTGGGTCAGCAGTGCCTCTGAGTAGCTTGAAATTAGAAACATGTGCTGGTAATTATGAAACTGCAGCAAAGCCACATCATGCAATTTAATGCCTCAGCAAATTAAAGAATAAATGGGATCAGTCTCTTTGACCTTGCTCGGTCTGACTTGATCTACCTGATACCTCATGTGTGCCACTCAGTTACTCTGAGACTTTGAAAAGCACTCAGCGAGGCAGGTGAACGTGAACGCACATTAAAGTCAGAGGTCTAATATTTCTTAAAGGAATGCGTGTCGCCCACTGCCCTTCATGTCCGAGGTTTGTCGAGGAATGATGGAGTTGTAGCCATTTGAAAAATACAGTATACTGAGCTCAATCATATGCTGTTTTGCTCAGTTTGGGTTTTGAAAGACTCTGGTACGACCACGTAAAACTTTAGCTCCTTATTTGTAAAACTGATTAAAGTTTAAACTTTTTTGTATTTTCTTAGATCAGCTGGAT